GAAGAATAAGAGACTCTACTACTAGGTACACTAAGAGACACCTAGGTTAAACCCGAAACTATTGAAAGGATCCTAAAGAAAATTCTAGGCAATAAGGCACTAGGAGAAGATAAGGTCTATAACAAACTTCTAAAAGCATATAGGAAGGGGCTAGCCCTAGCACTAGCCAATATCTTTTTATAAAGCCTAGTACTAGGACACTACCTAAGACTATTTAGGAAGTCCCTAATAGTAGTGCTAAGGAAGCCCTAGAAGGAAGACTATATACAGCTTAAGGCCTATAGACTAATAGCCCTACTTAATATAATAGGCAAGGTGCTAGAGAAAATTATCGCTAAAAGGCTAACAACCTTTACCGAGGAAAGGAATATCCTTCCTAAAGGCTAGATAGGAGGAAGAAAGAAGAGGTCAATACTAATAGCTATAGAACTAATTATAGAACAGATTAAGTATATCTAGCACTATAGTTAAAACTAGGTAGCAACCCTCCTCTCCCTTAACATCTTAGGAGCCTTTAACAATATCTCCTATAAAAGACTCCTATATATACTCAAATAGAAAGCTATACTAAACTAGATAGTCCAATTTATCTAGTCCTTCCTATAGGAAAGATCGATATAGCTTATTCTAGGCAAATTCAAATTAGACCTAATACTAACTAAAAAGGGAATCCCTTAAGGATTAACACTCTCCCTAATCCTCTTCCTTATCTTTATAGTAGACCTACTCCTACTCCTAGAATTAAAAAACATATTAGCATTAGGGTTTGTAGATAACACAAACATCCTAGCCTAGTCTAAGACAATAGAAACCAACTATAAGATCCTAGAAGAGAAGCATTAAGAGTATAAAAAATAGGCAAAGAGGTATAGAGCAAAATTCGCCCTAGAAAAGTACTAGCTTATCTACTTTAGTAAGGCTAAATCAACCTATAATATAAAGCAATTAATTACTATCTAAGGCTTTGAAACCTAACTATTAGTAGAGCTTAGGGTACTAGGGATCTAGCTAGATCTAAAACTGAATTAGGGACTACAAGTAAAGAAGGCAAAGTAGAGGGCAGATACTAATATACAATCCATTAATAGACTTATAGCCTCTATATAGGGGGCTACATTCGAGAAAGCTAAAGTTATATATAAGCAATTGTAAGCTACGCCGCAGCGAAGTAGCCTCCGT